CATTTTGTCTCAGTCCAAATGTTTTTTCCCCGGGTGCAGTTACAGTTCTTGCAGGTAGTCCATTCGCATTATCGCCAAGCTTCTTTTCCCCTCTCTTCATTGCAACACTATTCATGAGTCCTCATGCTTTCTCTCCACTTATCAACTCAACTGGTAAGGGTGTATCTCTAATTCTTTCACCCAGTATTTTTAGTTGATTACCAAATAATTTGTACATTTGTTTCAAAAAACTGCTTTGACGAATTAATAAAAAATACTAAAGATTTTTTAATTTTACTTGATAATTATAACATGTTTCGCTTCCCAGAACAGTTGTTCTTGTTTGCTTTATATAATTTCAATGCTTCGCGTTGATTGTAATCTATGGTCTTTCAAATTTGTTATAAGAGTACTCAGTTGTTCTATTCTACAGTACTTGTTGTTAAATTACGGGCGCGTTCTTCTTCATAACATTTTTCTTGCAATAGTTGTTTGGATTTCATTATATTACTGTTTACTAGAGTTATCCACATTTTGCAGATACAGATCGTTGACGAATAAAAAAATAACAGCATTGCTTTTTAGAGCGGACGAACTGGTTCGGTGAGCAAATATGATTAATTTTTACTCTTAATATCGAGAAAGTATAAGCCATGTTGAGAAATACTAGACTATAACTTTATGACACTACAGGTCTCAACTACTGACCCTATATTGATTAAGAAAAATCTTATCCTTTTAACCTTCTTACCTAAATTTAAATATACTATATCTTGCAGTCTTATACAACAATGTCTCAACACTTAAAAAATTAATACATCTTTATTGAACATTTCAAGCAATTATACAAATCACTGACCTGTTATTTCGTGAGTATTTTGGCACTTAAAATTAAGTTAAGTACAGATTCAAATAAAATGATCTATATAACGGTAGCAATACACGACTAATAAAAGTAACCAATTTCTAACGGAGCCAAATCAACAGTAATTTCTTACCCTATACCGTTTTCGTCGTGTTAGCGGGAAATTTACAGGAACATATAGCTAAACAAAAAAAGCTGCTTAACCAATACACAATGATTCGTTCTGTAGCGAAAGAAAGCGGAAAGAAAACAAAAAGTCGAAATATGCTATAGGAATGGTCCTAAAGATGACGCTTCATTGAAGGCACAGTGGAAAATTCTTCCTACAGGCTTTTGTTCAGTGAAGAATCATTACGTAGATTGATAACCTTTTGTATTCCATACAGCAGCATTCAATTGCAGCCGTCTGGGTTATACAAAAGGTCTCATTAAATTACTTGAGTGTTATTGAACATCATTGAATACTGTTATTGTTCTGAGTTTATACAATGACAACACTCATTGTTGCTTTGTAACGAACCGATAGTTCTGAAACGTTAAAAATAGTACCAAAAGTTCTTTATATTTATTTCTTTCCGCTTAGTTGTAACCAGATTTCCGAGGTTACCTAAAAATTTCAGTGCCTGTTTAAGATATAAGTTAATGTAACAAAAGAAAAAGCAAATTTGCCAAACTTGCCTAAGCATACAACCTTATTTTTCAAAAATACTCAACAAACCATGAGCCTGATATAACAGGAGTATGTAAACGTCATTTATGCAAAAAATTTGTAAAAAAACAGAAATGGAGGGTCAAAACAGTTCTATTTTTTACTAATAAGTCGTGCTGTTGAACAATTGTAGAATGGATAGAATGTGAACACTTCAAAGTTGGGTAGTTCAAACTTCATTATAGAAAAAAAACACAACATTTAATCACGACATTATTAATAAATGACTTATAATAATAAGCATAACAAAAAAATAACAATCGATAATGGGTTAAATTAAAATTAAAAAAATTAGGCCATAAAAGCTACAAAAAAGGAAATTAGCTGGTCAACCCCGCGTTATTGTGTATCGTTATACAATGACTCGTCTCTTCTTGTTGATCTTTTGAAACGACTGGCTTTTATCAATACGCAGATACTTGGTTGTTTACATGGTTCCTTTTCTGGCGACTTTTGCTGATCAGTTTCCATATGGCCTGCTAACTGTAGGTTTTTGCGGTAGCCACGAGAAAATGTATAACAGTGATTAAGGCAGATAAACCAAAAAACCAAAGTTTGCTTTTTTATAGATAAGAAATTTTACTCATGTATACATATATATTCTAAGTTGTTAGGAATAGTTTTGGTTAGACAACAAAATAAATTTTGAATTGAGAAAAAGTTAATTTTGTTCAGTAACTTTAAAACTTCTTCTTCAACCTGCTTAACTACAAAAAAAAAATTTATAAAAGATAGCAGGTCACCAAAGACATCAAAATTTTACTTTTGTTTGCTTTGCACTCATTATACTAGAAAAACAAAGAATTTCTGGAAATAAACTTTTCAATTTCAGTCATATTTCAGTTACCTCTTCACTTTGACCTTTTAAAACCTTTTCCAACCCAAAAGTCAAATGAGCTCAAATGACTAATAGGCAATACTGACAAAGTACAAAGAACTGTAACACTTTATCGTGTACTTATGATTTCCAAGTTGAGCTAAAAGTGCTACATAACCCTACCAAATTCACCTGTTCTGCATTCAACCAACAATCATGGCCACTTTCTTTGCTTTTTTGCTGTTCTCCGGTATTGTTGCATCCCAGACAGGTTTGCTGAGTAATCTAATTCTCAGCTTCAAACTCACATCCAGGTTTATTTTTGCATAAAGAAAATACTCTCCAAATCTGCATCAGTTTTTAAAATGCAATTGTTTCAAGTACTTTTTAACCTACTAATAACTTCCGAAAGAGAAAAGTTTGACAACAAATATTTCCGAGGTATACTTCAAATGATTCTATCTTTTTATTGCAGACTGCAACGGTTATAAAGCCGCTCTGAAGACATATGACGCGAACAAAGGAATCGATATGATTAACAAAGATTATAGACTAGTCTTCACAGACGTTTTCAATTGTACTATGTTTGATTCAACAATTCTTATTATTTTATCAAACAACATCGGTCCCGCTGAGGATACTGCATAATAATTTTACTCTCATTTAACACTCAAATTAGAATGACCATTACACTAGAATTTTTTGCTTTGCTTAGCAGAGTGCTTCCACCAAGTTACTAGTTCTTCAAATGTCTCTCATTAACTGCCCCCGTCTAGATTATTTGCTTCCATACAGCAGTGAGAACGTGTTTTTACCGGATGTAAAATACACTTCAACTCGTTACTTGGCATCCACCTGCATTGACTTTCAAAACGAATTCACTCCTCTCAGCAATTAAGGAGAAATAGCCAACTTTGTCAAAAACTGCCTAAAGAATATTACAACCACCGCTCCGGAAGACGAGGTTAAGGAAATCAAGTAAAAAGTGTGAATGACTTTCAGTACCAAATTCATGCACCTGACAAGAAGCACTGAAGCAAGCCCACAGCGCGCAATTTTTTGAAACGGGTTTGCTGACCGTCGAGCGTTTTTATAAAAAACTTCGCACATCTGTTTCAGTTACTGCCTACCTGCATCACTGTAACTGATTCTGCACTTTTTCCAGCATTTACGGAACAGTTTGAATGTACAGCTTCGGAAGAGCGAGCTTCTAATGATGCTGTACTAAATGCTGAGTGGAATTTCGGTTTGAACAATGTTGCAACTCTTCGTATAGTTCAAGAAGACTTGAAAACTAGGTTACAACATATTCATAACGCAATCAAAGTTGCTCTTCCAGCTTGGAGTGGCAAACTTGGCAATTTCTTCAGATGGAAAATTTGAAAACAGAAGTTTTAACAGAAGTATTGTGTCGTTTTTGGTGTCGCTAATTAAATAAACAATAAAGTACTCAAGTAATTATTTTTGTGATAAAATAAACTTACAGTCGGCAGCAATAAAATATTTATTGTCTACGTATAGTCATGTAAGTCTAATAACAACAACTTTAAGTACTATTTCATTATCTTTTTTTCTCTTCAGAGAACCAAGTACAAAATTAGAATATAATCTCAATGACGAATTCCAACAAAGAATCTCAAGCCGGAAGAAGTTAGTTATAGGTAAAAATATGATAATGTTATAGAGAAGCACTTTTGAATTAAAGGGCAGTTGTGTGTGAGAATATAATTGCTGTGAATCAAATGAGCAAAACATCCAAAGTCTTAGCTTGATCTGTTAACAGAAGGTGAAAATAGATAAAAATAACAACTAGTGGCGGAAAGTAGGTAGGTAGTAGGCTAATAAAGACAGAGTATTCTTTTCATAATTACGGTTTATGTTGTACTTTTTTTGATGATAGCTCAATCTTTTCAATCCCCGTAAACAACGTTTTATTTCACTCTTAACGAATAACTCTTCTTCCCTTACAGCTTAGCATGGTTGGCGTTTTGCGACTGGGAAATCTGCTGATGCCTTGACCATTTCACCACCGCTGAATAAGTGGATTTACTTGCGTACTCGTTGCAACTTTGCAGAAGTGCTTCACAGGAAAGAATGTTTAAAAATGTTTATCATTAAGGTTGAAGCAGAAATAAATAGAGGTTCTTCGTTAGATAAACTTTTTTTGAAAGTATAGCAGAACTGCTACACATATTCCGGTTTATACGAATGAATGCAATAGCTAGCTGTATTTGGTCTTGTTTTACGACTCATAAAATCTTTTGAATGGCAATGGATAGAAAAGGTAATTTCAGCAAAAATTTATAGAAGCTTTTCAGTGATCGTAGTTTTATGCTAGAGCAACGCTTTTTTCTTAGAAAAAAAACGTTTATTTTTGAACAAAATAAGATGGTTATAGATCAATATCAGATAAAAACTGCGTAGGTAAATCGTTTATACATTGAGAAAGTAGTAAAG